ACTTTCATCATCCAACAAAGAGAAAGAAAAAAGATATATAATAATAAAAAATGATTAAAATTATAATGATGAGAACATGTTATTTAGGGACGTAAAAGAGGAAGAGGAAGAAGAAAAAGAAGGGAGATTTGTGATGACAGCGAAGTGAGAAAGGGATTCCCTTCATTCATGCAATTTTGTCCGCAATTATCTGAAGCATCAGACACATTTCATCTCTTGTCTTCTCTTCATGTGCAGTCTTACGTAGGACCATGTTTTTTAATTACCAAAATGTCCTTTTTTTTTTTTGGTCGAATTAGGTTTAATTTCACCAAATTAATTCATATCAATTTTTTCCTTTTCGTTTTAGAAAATAATTTTGTCGGAGTATATAACTTCGACCTCTACGAGATTAAAAAATTGTTGTCTATTATTGTCAACTTTGCGAGCCTTCGAGCCCCATTTTATAACTTTCCTTTTTGCCCATTCACGAGGCTATAAGAAGAGAGAAAGGGGTCGGGTATCAAGGAAAAGTCGTTTCGGTGGTATGCCACAAGGTCCGTATCGACAACGGGACAAATTTTAATTTTTTTAATTTTTTTAATTTTTTATTATTCTAAGCTTGTAAGCTACCTCACTTCACCACCAATATCTGTCAGTATTGAAAATTTTAAAAATAAATAAATAATAAAAAGGAAAAAAAGCAAAGAAAAAGCTGAGAAAAGAGAGAGTTTGCATACATTTTTGTTTTTTGGGTGACGGTGGAAAAAACTTAGGCGTGGTGTAATTTGAAGGCCCTTTTTAGTAATTTCCTCTTCCCTCTACTCATCGTAGATACTTTTCAAACAATTATACCTTAATAATTTCGCATACCACTTTTTATTGAGATCTTAATATCGACATTTTATGCAATACTTCAAGTCTACTACTAACAAATATTGTTCACTTAGACCCATTTCATATCGTCATCAGTCTCACGATTTTGATTCGCGTCTATTAGAAAGAGATTTCCCAAAATTTATTAGAAATGTATAACTTTTTGTGTGATCTTATCACACCGATGTTTTTTAGATCGGGTTATGATATTAAAGAGGGTTTCCCTATTAGACCAAGAGTTGGTGCTAATAGTGAATGCATTTTTTTTAGGGTAATGTCTATATAGGATAGGGTTGACATAATAAATAATATTATTTATTATTGTGAGCAATAAATAAATTGAATAATAAAAATAAATAGTTGCCCAAACTTTTAATTACACTAAATGCATGCACGAACGGGGGAACATGATAACTACTACAATCCTTATTACATATCATTTACTGTCGATACTTACTCTCCTTTATTTAGAGATGCTTATTTAATCCGTAAAATTCATCTCAAATGAGGTGAAAAAACATAAAAGAGAGCTCGGAGATTGTACGAACCCACTTCCTAACTAAGTGAAACAAGAGGTTTCAAATTTCCATCGATGTTTTTTCTTACCCTCTTTAACGAGGTAAGAAACGTTTTTTTCGAGGCTTTTGGATCATAGTCTAGAAGCTTCGATTTTAGAAGCGGGTGAACAAATTCATCATCTGTAATGAAGTTTACTTGTCAACGAGACAGAACCCAGTTCGTAAAATAAGTTTTATATATATAAATACTAATAAAAAAATAAAATAAAATAAAATATAAGAAAATAGGTTTTTGAAAATTAAATATAAAAAAATAATCTGCAAATCCCTTCATTTTTTCTCTATAAAATTTAACACTCTCCTCTCTCCAATTTCCATTCCACACCCAAATCTCCTTCTCTCTCTAATGGAGTCTCCTCCAAGAAATCTCCTCTTCTTCTTTTTCTTCNTCGCCGCCGTCGCCTCCGCCGCGTCGGAGTTCCAAACTCTTACTCTCCGCCGTCTTCCAATTCCCTCTCCCCTTTCCTTTCCACAATCCCAATTCGACACCCAAGAAACGCTCGAATCCACCGCCGCCCTCACGGTTGAGCTCCACCATTTGGATTCACTCTCTACCAACAAAACCCCCTCCGATCTCTTCAACCTCCGGCTCCACCGCGACGCCCTCCGTGTTGACTCGTTGACCTCCCTGACTGCTGCCCGGAGCCGGACTCCTCTCCGGCGAGCCGGATTCAGTAGCTCTGTTATCTCCGGCCTTGCCCAAGGTAGCGGTGAGTACTTCACCCGCCTTGGCGTCGGAACGCCTCCTAGATATCTCTATATGGTCCTCGACACCGGAAGCGACGTCGTTTGGCTTCAATGCTCCCCTTGCCGGAAATGCTACTCCCAATCTGATCCCATTTTTAACCCCTTTAAATCCAAATCCTTCGCCGGAATCCCCTGTTCCTCACCTCTCTGCCGCCGCCTTGACTCCTCCGGCTGCAACACTCGCCGCCATACCTGCCTCTACCAAGTCTCCTATGGCGATGGCTCCTTCACCACCGGCGATTTCGCCACCGAAACGCTAACGTTTCGTGGAAATAAAATCGCCAAAGTCGCCCTCGGCTGCGGCCACGACAATGAAGGCCTCTTCGTCGGTGCCGCTGGATTATTGGGTCTTGGCCGTGGTCGGTTTTCTTTCCCTTCTCAAACCGGACTCCGGTTCAACCACAAATTTTCTTATTGTTTGGTGGACCGGTCCGCTTCCTCCAAACCCTCCTCTATGGTTTTCGGTGATGCGGCAATTTCCCGGCTCGCCCGGTTCACTCCTCTGATTTTGAACCCGAAATTGGAAACGTTTTATTATGTCGAACTTATCGGATTCAGCGTCGGCGGAGTCCGAGTCCGCGGCATCTCCGCCTCCCTCTTCAAGCTCGATTCGGCTGGCAACGGCGGCGTCATAATCGATTCGGGTACATCGGTAACCCGGCTGACCCGACCGGCGTACACTGCTCTTCGCGACGCGTTCCGGGCTGGAGCGTCCCATTTAAAAAGAGGTCCCGAGTTTTCGCTGTTCGATACGTGTTACGACTTGTCGGGACAGTCGGCGGTGAAGGTCCCGACGGTGGTGCTGCATTTCCGGGGAGCTGACATGGCATTGCCGGCGACAAATTATTTGATACCAGTAGACGACAGTGGAAGCTTTTGCTTTGCGTTTGCGGGTACCATGTCCGGATTGTCGATAATTGGGAATATTCAACAGCAAGGGTTTCGGGTCGTGTACGATTTGGCGGGTTCTCGGATCGGGTTCGCTCCACGTGGGTGCACGTGATGTCTGACCCTGAGATGGGATTTGTGTTCCTTAGGGACAAAACAGGAATAACAAAAAAAAGGGGGGAAATTAAAAGAAAAATAGGAATTTTCTTCATGACATTTGGGATTTATGGTTTTTTTTTTCTTTTTTTGGTGTAATGTATTTAATATCTATTTAAGTAACTAAGCCTCTAACTTGGAGGTTATTGGGTTTTTTTTTTTTTTTTTTTTTCAATTTAAAGATTTGGACACATTTGCCCCCGTTTTCTGTTTTTACCAAAGTGGAGCACTTTTAATCAATTCAAATTATCTAATTTTATCTATAATATGTCAAAATCTCTAAACTTCATATCCATTTTGGTCCTTTACCCTTGTTTTGTACTTTGTTGTTTATATAGCATCCATGAATTAAAAAAGAAAAAAAGAAATTTGAAAAACCTTTGTTGTCGACGTACTCTCCGTTTAGGTTAGATGTAGCCATCACACCATTGTTGTCGTTGTAAATGCAACTAGGATAATTTTGATGCTATGATCGTTGTCGTTGTGCTGATTGCCAATTGTTGGGCGTCGACTAGAACAACAAAGAGGGTAATCTTATCAAAAAGATCCTTAATTACCATGACAAAAAAAAGTAAACTTCGACTTTAATTTCTTGAAGTATAAAAAAGACAACTACAAATTTAATCATTATTGAAAAGGAACCCTAAAGCCACCAAAATTGGTCATAAAAATGTTATCAAGAAAGGTAATTAATATGTAAGATAAATGTTTAATAATGATAAATAAAAACATATTGATTTATCATTATTAAAATTAAGGGTAATCAATAAAATATTTTTACGGTCAAAGAAAAAAGAGTACAAATTTAAAACAAATGTTACTTAAAATTACTTTTATGAATACATGGATATACATCTTTGAAGACTTTAGAATATCCATTCAAATTTTTCAATCATTTTTTTTATGTAATATAATACAAAAATTCATGTCGCAATGCTTACTAAAATGTAGGATCTTTTAGGGTGCAATTCCAATGTGCAATTCCAATGTGCAATTCTTTTAGGGTGGACATCGAACCTATTGTTCGAGTTCTATGTCCAAATCAATTGAACTTTACTTAGAGAAGACAAAGGCTATATAGTTTATGAAAGTCGAATACTAAATAACATACAACGCAACTTTTAATTGATGATAGCAAATCCCAACCATCATCCTCTCAAATAAAGTACTACACTACCTGTTTCTCCTCAAATAGTCAACTAATAGTCTAGCACATAAGTATGTCAACTTCTCTTCTCTTCTCTAGAGCATACCGTTAGTTCAATAGAGCTCAACCACGAATCTCTATCAAAACTAAGTTTTTTAGAACCACAACTCTTTATTGTTAAAGGCACGACTCTAATGCCGGAAAAAAAAAACTTTTCATTTCTACTACGGGAATAAGTATAAAAATGATTGAGAAATTAAAAGAAAACAACAAAAATAAGAAATGTGAACTTCAAAATTGGATTAAAAAAAAAACATACCCACAAAACGAGACTCCACTATGTGAAAAACTATTAAAATCACACAAAACTCTCTCCTGACCACAATTGCAAAGAAGCAAGTCTCTCAAAGCTTTCAAATGTGGTACAAGAGGAACTGTTGAAGGCTACTTGCGAAAGAAAATTTCCCTCCTAACTTTGACATAATTCATTCCATTAAACAACAGTTAGACAACATACTTGAGGAAGAGGAAATCTATTAGAAATAGAGATTCCGTCAAAAGTAGCTAAGATGGAGAGATAAGAATACAAAATGGTTCTATGCCAAAGTCGAATTGCAACATAAGAACAATGAAATCAAGGGAATTTTTATTGGTCCAAGCGAATGACGAGGGGGCATAAGTGGTGTTGAAGATACCTTTCTTATTCTAAAGCTAATTTTGAATCGCCATATGCAATCCATATTCAAAAAGTTCCAAGACACGCGAGTCCAAGAGTTATAGTGGAAATCAATGTAAAACTAACAATTTTGTACGTGAAGAAATTGAAATGGCCTTACAACAAATGTATCAACTAAACACCAGGACCATATGACTTTCCTGAGCTTTTTCATCAAAGGTATTGGGGGAATCCTTGAAAATAAAACAGTAAGAAATTACATTATGATATCCTAAATAGAAAAAAGAGCATGGGTGGATGGAAACATACAAGATAGCCTTAATCCTAAAAAAATTGACATCTAAATATGTGTCTCATATGATTGTTTCCAAGGTTCCAGCAAAGAAGCTAGAATAAGGATGTTGTTCCTTGGGTCCGTCCCTGAAGAAGAGGATTAGGATAGTGTTGGATTTAACACCTCTTTGTGGACTTCAGTCTTTGAACTTTTTGTAACTATTATTTGGGTTTGAAAAGGGTAGATCAAAAAAGATTTAGAAATTAAAAAAAAAAAGAAAAAAGAAAAAAGTGCAGTGGTAAGAGATGTATCCAAGCAAGCTTATAGAAGAAAGAAGGGGGAGGGGGGCGTAGATCATGCGTAGATGTAGTCATGAGGGTTCTTGTAACATGACTGCCAAGGGCTCACCTACTAATCTTTCCTTTTTTTAACATTAGAGTTCACCTAATAATCTCAAGGACAAACTACTTTTCAATCCAAGTTGTAAAACCAAACCAGATTTTCTTAAAAATGTGCATCAAATCAACTGTCTCAAACATTCAGAAGAAGTAAAACAACACATGTACCTTTAAGCTTTTACTCCTCCCTTGACCATTGTCCACTCTTCCCACCCGTTTTACTTTCAAGTCGCACATTTGTGATCTGTATATCTTTTGAAGCTGCTTTGCACATATCATAGACAGTAAGGCCAGCAATGGTCACCGCTGTCATTGCTTCCATTTCAACTCCTGTTTTACCTGTTGATGCAGCTTCTCCTTCTATATCCACACTGTAATTTTTGGGATTTAAATGAAGGTCGACTCGCACATGTGACAGGGTAATGTTATGACAAAGTGGAATTAGAGTGCTCGTGTGCTTTGCTCCACTTATTCCTGCAATTTTAGCAACACTGAGGACATCACCCTTGGCCATTTGGTTAGCTAAGACCAAATCGAACACCTTCTTGCCAAGAATTACATTGCAACTAGCAATTGCAATTCTTTTGGTGCTTTCTTTTGGAGAAACATCGACCATTTGAGCTTCCCCAGCTCTGCCAACATGGGTCAAAGACACGGCATTTTCACATTCTTGAGGCGTTATTGCAGACTTTTCAACTGTAAAACTGTTATGTGAAGAACCTGAAATCCCACTAGGAGGAAGGTCTCCAAATACTGATTCCATTTCCTGAACAAAAATTACGAAGTTGGATAAGAAAGGATACTGCTTCAGAATCAAACTACACAGCTAAAATAAGTATTTGCACATGTAAAAATAGAAATTCATAAGATCCAATTCAAAAAATTTATGTCTTTGTCAATGATATAATAAAGTAACAAAGATAAAATTTGTACAGAGTGACCATGCAACAATGGAGTAGGTCGTAATGCAAAACTTTGTAACAGACCACCCATAGAAGTCTCCGCTTTACAGATCCGTTTGAGTTATTTGTTCTGAAATCGAACATTTCCATCATGAGATAAAGACAAACCAAGTATATAATGGTATAATAACCAAAACTAAATTCGTAGTCCTTCTTAAACACATAATTTAGACTATGAGAGCCATTCCGACATTTACCTTCATTGCCATGACTTACTGAGTTGTGTAAAATGCTGATCATGATCAAGAGTAAGATGAAATCCTAAGTCTGGAAACGAGCATCTATGCTTTTCTTCTAATCACAATAGCAGCGCCATAAAATGGCCAGACACAAAGTATCTCCGATTTCTAATAAACGATGAGAGAAATGCCTAACGAAATTTCCCCTTTTCACTTTCCCTATTTGATAGTACAGTGCATACTTGTTCATCATCTTTAACAAAGCTCGTATACACAACGATATCTACTTCGAATTCTGTACAAATACTAATCGTTGAAATCCAAAATACCTTGTTAAATTCAGCGATGGTATTTGCCAAATCATGGTCGCCGTTGCTGCTATACAACCTTCTCGATGAACGAAATACGGCTCCAAGTCGGCCAAGAAGAATCATTGGATCAGAACGAACAAGAATATGTCAAACAGCGGCCATGGAATCAAGATTTCGTAAGATTGCAAGAACAGATGAGTCTGGACCCCGGGCTTCACTGTGAAAGACAAGACGCAGATGAAGAGGACGATTAGGTATGCCTTTTAATTTCATATAATTTCAAAATTGCCACTCATAACAATTGGTTGCGCTCTTAGTTTTCATGACGGGTCATTCGGCTAGACCTTGCCTCTTGCTTAGGCCCGAGGTCTCTCAATGCAATGTCGTATCTCATCTTGTCATCTCAATCTTCATTGACATGGTTCATATGTCTTAGCGTCATCCTGAGTCTCGAGATATCGTAGGCCATCACAACCCATTCGATCATGCCATCAACCCACGTGTCGCTCATCTCATTGGGACTTCCCAAACATCCATCCATTCGGGTTCTATCGAGACATTGACCCATCGCATGCTCATGTCGTGTCATTTACGGATACCGTATCGGATAGCGGGTGTATGTAGCAACCTCCAACACGCGAGCTGGAGCGCAATACTGACACACCCGTGCTACTCGATACTGTCCTTGGAAAACTCATTTCAAAGGAAGTCGCCGAGACACTCATCAAGGCACGCTCACCCACGCTATGACACACGTACGTGCCACAAGATAACTCACTTAGGCCACCACAACCCATATATATATATACACGCGCGAGTGCAGGTACATCAACTTTAGGGTATGTTTCAATTATACCCTTTATGGGAGGGACCGGAACCGGAACCGGAAGCCTTCCCCATCTTACCTTTTTTTTTTTTTTTTTTTTTTTCATTCTCTATTCCCACGAAAATTTTCATTTATTTGTGCGGAGATGATAATGGATAACAAGTGGGATTGAATTGATCGGAAGAGATTTCTTTTTTTCATATTTTTACTTAAAAAAATAATTATTTAAAAATATATAATTTTCATAAACAAAAATATAATATAACATTCTACCAATATAATTTATACGAAATTATAAATAATAATATTAAAAAAACTGACTTATTAAACAAAATAAAATATAATTGGCGAAAATAAAATATTATTTATAATAATTTGTAACATAAATATCTATATATTTATTAGATAAATATTATAAATAATAATCATAATAAATGGTAACTTTCCTAAAAAAAAAAAAAAAA